TCATCCCTGGGCATCTTTCCTCTTTAGTCATTTCCTCTCTCTCTCTCCTTCCTTTCCTTTTGCCTGACTGAAGATGGCCCTTTCGATTGGCTCGATTTGGCCACAAGGTCGATTTGATCTACTGCAGACTGTCTCTGTGTGTGCTTCATCACGTTACATCCGCTTTTGAAGTTTCATTTGCGCTATTTGCAAACACTTCTTTTTTGCTGTAGTTCCATTTGATTTATTTACTTAGCAACTAGTTAATCGTTTTTTGTTTTACTTCTTTTTTCTCAATTAATCTGTCGTAGTTATCGCTGCCACGCACTGCCAACTAGTTTTTTTCAGTCAGCATCTAAGCTGGCCAAATGACTGTGTGAAAGTAATCAGCTAGGCTAGCCACAGTAGTTGAAGTGCACTTTTCGCTGATGCGATCTCTGCAACTGAGCAGGAAAACCAGTGTCTTTACTTTCAGCCTTTATTGCCAACAGCAGTGGTTTGACGCAAAAAGGCGGCTGATTCAGAGGGTTTTCCAAGTGCAAAGAAAAGAGAAAATTCCCGCGTTGGAGTTGTGTCCTCTCTCGGTTGATCTCAATTTTTTTCCATCAACACAGCAAAATCAATTTGCGCCCTTTGTGATTTGCTTTTTGAGCACAGCACAGTCTCTGCAAATGGATTGTGTTTGTGGCGGAGAAGGAGAGAGACACCCTGAGCGACTGATGATTTACGAGATGATCTCTAGTTTTGCGGTGTGACCATTACTCCGAGTTCACACTGGTTGGCATTTATTTATAGCAATATCTTGACTTCGTTTTTGCTGTTATGATTGTGATTGTTGTTGCGGTGTGTATGTCTGTGTGTGTACTACCAGTGATTGCCATTGTAATTGCCTGCTCTTGGTGCTCTGTAGTATCTTGTTGAGTGTGACTGCGATTCGGGCGCACACACACACTTTTTACCTGGTGCATTTGAATAATGCAAGTGATGGCGAGTGCTGGGCACACTTTCTAAAGCTATCCGTGCAAGTGCCTGTTGCTTGCTTTCTGTGCGTGTGAATGCTCCCTCAGATGCTGCCTCTGGGGTGATCTGCTCGCCAGATTGGACGATGCTCTCCTTATCGTCAACTTCTATTTTATTGCATTCATTCATTACTTATGTATTTATCACTCAGTGATCACCACCACCACCAGCACTCTTATTTTCGGCGCTCTTTGCCTGCACTGCACTCTGTCTGACTGTCATTCAACTGCCCCTTTGTGTGTTTCTGTCGTTTTCTGTTGCCGCTTTTATCATTTTCTTCTTCAGTACTTGCCACTTTCCACTGCGCCTTTCCACTGGTTTTGTTTGCGTCCTGCTGCTGCTGTCCCACTAACACTGGACTACATTTGCCAGTGAATCTGCGGCTTTGATTCGAATGTCTCACGCAGTCTTATCGGTGCTTTCTATCGCTAGACATATGCACTACTTTACCATATTTTTGCCATACCACCACCACTACCACTGACTGTCACGTCGATCCTCAGTGTTGACTTCATTTCTCACAATGAAGAATGGCCATTGCTGTCGACCGTTTATTTAAATAATTCTTTACCCTAAATCGGTCAATGAGTTGAGGAATTGTTTGCTCACACCTGCTGCTGCTGTTGCTTGGCTACATACTCACACCTGTGTCTACTCTATAACGGGCTCGTGAACTTGCACAAGATACCCAAAGGCTATTCTTTTATACTAAACTATACTTTACTTATTGCGGCTGAAAATTATTATCTTTTGACTGTGCCCAAACAGTCTAGTTAGTCTACACAAGAGTTGCACACTCGCCTTGACAGACTTCTGTGGACGCTTTCGTTTTTTTCATTTCAGTTGATCAATGGCATAACTGTTTTAATAAATCCACTGGCTTTTGTTCACATGTCCGCTTTATCTCGCTTTCTCCCATGGTCCATTCTGACTAACCACAGTTGCAGGCGAATGGTGTGAGTCTGTCTTTCTTTCTTTTTTTCAACATGCCTTGTTTCATTTTCCCACTCGTTTCCGACAGCATTGCATCAACTAGTGACACAATCCTCTTTGGCTTTGCACGTAATCTCTGTGCCAGTATCTGATCGTCAGTGTAAGAGCGATGATTTGTTTATTAGCTAGCCTCTCTCTGGCAAGTGATACCGTTTGGCTAATTGTCAGTGTGTTTGTAGTCTATAGTCCCATGTGATTCAAACGCTGCCGACTGAGGCTTCATTTGTTCTTGTTCAGATGTAATGGCAGTAGTTTTCCATGTGATGTGCCTTTTTATCGGCAGTAAATGCAAATCTGAATGCAAAAAGTCAGTAGCCCTAGTGACTTGGCCATAAAGACGACTTGCAGACGTTGGTTGGTGTGCTGCAGGTCTCTCTCTCTCCCTCTCTCTCACGACGAGTGAAGCAGAGCGAGGTCTTGTTAGCATTTGCGATTTGCCCCTTCACAGCAGCCACCCCAGCAGCAAACACACTCTGTCTTTGACCTTTGCCACTCGTTGCAGCAGCAACAGTCACGGCGACTGCTCTTCCTTGGACACTCTTGCATATTATATTCTGCTAATCATTCCGTCATCAGGTTTACTAGTGGTTCCACTGTTCGCGAGCTGCTGCTGCCTACCCCCTGCCTCAACCCACGAAGAAGGTAGTCAACCGAGGGAGCCGGCTTTATCTTAATTTGTCTCCTCTTGCTCCTTATTTCTCTCGTTCTCTCCTTCACTGCTGCAGTCTGAATGTCTGTCTGAGCTTACTGCCACCAGTTGACCTGTGTGTGTGCTATCTAAAGGTGAACTCTGCGCACTGCATCTAAAGAGAGATCCAATTGCAAGTGAAGTGTGCTGTCATGGGTGTATCCCCTCACTCTCTGTTTCCTCACTGACAGCATCGTCCGCTGTGGCCAGCTGAGTGGAACAGCACTCACTTTTGTTGGGCTCGTCATCGACTGATCAAATGCGATTGATGCTTTTTCTTCTTGACTTGTGCACTTGAGAATCATTTCCAGTTATTTGTTTTTATTCATTCATTCCCATTAAAGCCATGGCGATCAGAGGTAGTGCTGGTTGTGGTGGTGGTGGTGGCCATTTCCGAAGCAGTTGTCTGCCTGCTGTGACAACTGCATCACTGCAGTGAAGCACTTCTCCGGAAATGAGAGCGGTGCTTTTTATGGCGGTGATTCAGTTCTCTTCTGAGATGTGCTTCACTGGCATTACTGTCACTGTTGGGCCATCTGTGCATTTGGTAGAAACAGCAGCAACAGCCTCAGCTGCGCATCTCACACTGCAGTGGAGAATGGACTCTTCCAATTGTGGCGGTGGTGCCACTGGGAGATGTCGATGTTTAAATTAATGCCCATAGCTCATTTGGGTTTAATTAGTGCTGCTGACGATGAGGAGGAGAGGATGGGAGAAAAGAAGTAAAACACTAGCGCCGTTTCTTCCACTCACTCACTCGCACACTTCTTAAATTGCCCCCGCGTAAGTCGACTTTCAGTCTTGGAAGGAAAAGCCTGTGTGCAGTATGTGAATAGGTTGGCGCCAATGGTCGTCAAGTATGTCGGCCAATATTTGTTCATCCCTATTTGAACTTGATCTACTAGCAGCAGTAAGACGGGGCTACAGTTATCTCCTCTTCTCCCCTTGCAAGTCCTTTTTGAAGTTTGCCGGACTGTCTTCTTAAGAGGACTCTTTAATGATCATTACAAGAACACTGACTGCACTGTGTTCAATGTGTCAACTTGTGATGGCAAAGAACGTAAAGTTCTGTTAATTTTGGTGCGCTTGTTAGTCTATGCCTTGTCTATTTACGTCGCTGTGAAGCTGTGATTTGTCTGCTCAGTCTTGACAAACTCAGTTGGACGTCAGTGCCCACTCGTTGAATCGATATTTATGAATCAAGACGTTTGACCGTAGTGGCTGGAACGTAGTTGCAGAATTTATGAGAGAGAGAGAGAGTGTCCTTTCAGCAGTAAACTCCACTACTAGTCAAGTGAAGATGATGCCAAGTTATGCGAATGTCTGCGCAGATGGTGCGACAAAACTCGATTTGTTCTATTTTGAAAGTGAATGGCAGCCATTCCTCTGCCCTCCCCTCCTCTTCCTCTTAATCCCCTCTTTAACTTATGATTGCCTTTCACTCTTTAAACTCATTGCGACAAGCTGTGCTGTACAAGCGGCGGTGGTTGGGCAGAAATACATCGAAGGAGAACCGTCTGCAGGGGAATTTGCACTCTAAGCAATTGGCAAAATATCAATGGAATTCAGTACATTACGCACTGCAGGCTCAAAATATGGCTTTGGCAAGTGTGGAGGAGGCAAGTCAGCATGTGATTGGTTGTGTCGACTGTTCCTGTTTCCATGTTGGCCATTTCCGCAGTTTTGTGCCGTTTAAACCATCAATTCATATTCCCATGCTCACATCCATGTACTAAATACATGTACATGGATCGTTAATTTGAGATTCTGTTTATATTACTGCTATACGATTGTGAACCACCATCAAGAAGAATCAGACGCACTTTGCAGGCGACCTTATTTGTAGCATGCATATGACTTCTTGATGGAAGCTCTCTTTCTCTTTTTCTACAACAAAGGGAACAGTGCACTTGACGGTCGTATTCGATCGTGTAAGCTAGCAAGTTTCGATTCGATGTTGATACGCTTCCAGCACCTCTCTTCTAATGGATGGAGGTTGATGTATTGGCAGAACGACGGGCACAAAGCTACCCCAAGCGATTTCTTTAATTGTTGTGCGCTCTAATATAAACGATATATTGTGCATGTGATTCCGCTCTCACTAATGTTTATTCTCCTTCTTTGTTTCTCCTTCTCTTTCAGAGTTGTATAAACGACATGAAGCTTCTCGACGCGCAACTCAGCCTGTAAGCGTGTACACCATTCGCAGTGGCATTCACAATTGCACTTGAACCACTTCAGTCTTGAATCTCAGCCTGAAAGCTCATCCATTTTACACGGATAAATATTCTGCGTTCTTCTTCGTCTTGCTCAGGACAAGATGCCGTCTTCAGTGGTTAAGGAAGGCCTGCTGACGGAGAGCAACTGTGCAATCACCGAGGAGCAGCTGAACGCCATCATTCGTCGAGGACAGCAAATAACCGATTTCTACGAACAGGAGAAGGATTGCTTTGCAAGGTAAGTGTTTCTGTGTCTCTGTGGTCTTTTCCCCTTGTTTTTGCTGCTTTGCTTCCTTTCCGTTTTGTTTCATCGCGTGTTTGCCACACGCCATCTGGCTCAAATCGCTCATATGTGTCTGTAGGAGACTTTGCAGTGTGACATCTGCTTCTATTTAAATGACTGCTCGTGGTGCTGGTGGTGCGGGGCATGCCACGGCGGTTGCTTGCTTGCACAGTTTTAGGCAGTAGCTTCACTTAGTCACGAGTATTTCTGGCTTGAAAGTGTCACCGAACTGCCTGCTGACTGCTGAGCAGTAGTGAAGTTAGCTGCAAAGTTGTGGTCTGTCTTCCTTTCTGAGGAAACGTCTTTCTCAACACTGACCTGAAGCAGCAGTTGACAAGTCACTTTGCTGACCTGTGTCGTCCGCACCACTCGCTGGTTGACATGTTGTTGTGGGCTTTGGCAGATGTGCCACGCTAGCTCCACTTTCATTTCATCAGTTTCGGGCACACATGTTTGAACTGCTGCGGGCTTCACTTTAGCAATAACACATTTGCTCCTAGTGCCGAACTAGTGTAGACAAGCAACACTTACAACACTCTCTGACCTGTTGAGGCATCGATACGCTTAATTTATTTATTTGTTTACCAGCCACTAAACACTGGCAGCCGGCGAAAGTTGTGATGATTCTCTGACTGTCCAAACCTCCTCCTCCTTCCTCTGCCATATATTCAGAATGTCACTACTTTTGAGATTAATTGTCTTTCTCTGCTGAGCAACAAATTTACACGGCAAAGTGCCTGCCTGCATGCCTTTACAAGTTGCGCTGGCAACTGTCCCAGTCACTTGAATTCAGTCATTTGCCTTCTCTCTCTTTTCTTTTGCCTTTTTGCTCTGTGCTGCAAGTGTTGGAATTTAATTAGCGGCACTTTTGCAACGTTCTGTGACGAGGTTAATTAATTTTTCGATTCTTTTGTGTAGCCTAGTGTTGCTGTGCTCGCAATCGAGTTAACTCAACCGAGTCTGTCGGACTACAAATTTTGTACCGTTTGCTAGTTAGCATAGCTAACGATGGTCAGAGTACTGCAGTCGAAGAATTTGCCATTTTTCTGAGCATATCAAGAAGGCTTACCAAGAATCAAAGTTTAATGTCAAATGTTAATTAATCGAGGCCACAGACACTTCACTGATTTCAGTGATTGCATACTTTTTTGTTTAGATTACTTTTTACAGTGCAAGACAGCACACATTTGGCTTTCATACGCTTGCCGTTGTTGTGTTGTGTTCTTTCAGTGCGAATTGCAGTGTTCAATTTTGCCACCCTTAGTCGGCGCCGAACCAAATAAGCATCTCTCTTTCACTTCTGCTCTCCTTGTCTGTCTGTTTGTCGTTTTCTGCTCTGCTTTGGCACTCTTTCAGCAGACTTTCGCGCTTACAGTGTTGCAGATTTTTATTACTGACTCATTACACTCCCAGTGTGTCTCGCTTTCTGAGAGACGACTCCTATCATCGATGTGAGTCTTGTCTTCTAGACATCAAGGCCAAGAATTGAAAGGATTTGAAAGTATGCAGTGCCAGCGATGACTTGAATAGTCACTTTTGCCGAGTTTGCACTTTTTTCTCCTTCACTTTTACTACTCTTTAATCTTCAGTAGTGAAAGCAGTTTGACCCATTGTGTCTGACTGGTGTACACAGCAGACCGCCTGACTACTGCATTCAGCACCTTACCCCTCATTCGGAGATGCGCGCAGATCTGCTGCCGCTGTACTTTCAATAGGCAGTGAAAGTGCATGGACGTGCATGGGCATTTTAATGGGATTGCCCCAAGCACACACACACATGCCCACAATGTGTTTCAGTTTCCTACATATTCAAAGGCTCAGATTTTGAGACTGCATCAGCGCACTTCTCATCAATGCTCGCAACCATTTCCTTTCTTAGCATGCAGCGGCAGCGCATCATCGGCGGCGGCAGTGTGTTCGCTTCGGCTCACTACCGCATTGACACTACTCCATCGAAAAGGGTCAAGGGCTAAGGTGGCGATGCCGATTTGAGCTGGGGAATTGTTCTCGTCTTCGCCACCACTGTTGTCGTCGCCGCTGTCTGAGAATGTTCGAGCCTGTCGAGTGTATTACGTGAGAGCGTTTCGAAAGATACTCTGTTGACTTTTCGAGCGAGCAAGCACACACAAAGAGACCGCGCATCTCTGACACCCACTTGCCCTGTGCAGCACTGCCTCCAGTGGCGCCCTGTTTGCTTCGCCGAGTTCCCTTCTGCAGTTCCTCCTCANCACACACAAAGAGACCGCGCATCTCTGACACCCACTCGCCCTGTGCAGCACTGCCTGCAGTGGCGCCCTGTTTGCTTCGCCGAGTTCCCTTCTGCAGTTCCTCCTCACACTGGTCTTTTGCATCCGTTTCACATCTGTCTTTGAATGACTGCTTCTGTAGACTCACACACACGCACACCAGCTACCGATTTTGTTCTTCGAATCTTCTCTATCTCTCTCTCCTGTCGGCGGCATCAGTGTGAATCGGCGTGTGCCACTTTGACAGTTCCAGTTTGCGGAAGAGCCTGCAGCAACTATGGCAGCAATGCTCTACTGCCATTTGGCTGGCTGTGGAAATTACAATTTGCACACGCGCCCAGCCGGGCGTTGATTGTGATNACACTGGTCTTTTGCATCCGTTTCACATCTGTCTTTGAATGACTGCTTCTGTAGACACACACACACGCACACCAGCTACCGATTCTGTTCTTCGAATCTTTTCTATTTCTCTCTCCTGTCGGCGTCAGCAGTGTGAATCGGTGTGTGCCACTTTGACAGTTCCAGTTTGCGGAAGAACCTGCAGCAACTATGGCAGCAATGCTCTACTGCCATTTGGCTGGCTGTGGAAATTACAATTTGCACACGCGCCCAGCCGGGCGTTGATTGTGATGCGACTGTGCTGAGTAGGTAGACTCAGATGTGCTTTTATTATTTACTAAGCACATTATATTTGATTTCGTCTTCCTATTCCTATTCTTAGAGTTAAAGCTACTGTGCTAATGTGTCATCGTTTTGCGCCTTGCTTAGAATTACAGAAGATTAGCATTTACATATTTTCCTGCTGTGTCATTCGACACAGTTAATTGTATGCACTACTGGAATATTCCATTTGAGTTTTCATTCGATCACATGAATGTGACAACTGCGCTGATAATTTATGACGATAGACTTTGGCGAAACACACCAGCGACCACTTGACTACCAAAGTGCCGCGAATTGGACATGCATCGTGCTTTCGATGTTTATCTTTGATTGTTTGCCTATCTCCTATGTGCAAATTAGTAGTGTCCTATCAGCTCGAGCGAATCGTCTGGTCACGGCTTCCTTGTTCTGAAGTTGTCTGTCTTTTGCTCTCTGTGACCCTCGCGACTTGAGGCTGACGATTTATCGGTATTGTCTCAGTGACCAACAGCTGTCGACTTCCGTTCGGCAGTTCCCAAGGACGAACACTACTTGCTTCAAACACAAGAGGAGGCAAAACTGGTTTGTCCTTTCAGGCAGCACTGTTGTCATTTATCTGTCTATTGACCCAACCATCTTCTGCGTTCTCAGCTCTGCATCACAGTGCCCCGTTTTAGTGTCCACTGTGCACTAGCTGCTACACTGTCATCATTTAGTNCTCAAACACAAGAGGAGGCAAAACTGGTTTGTCCTTTCAGGCAGCACTGTTGTCATTTATCTGTCTATTGACCCAACCATTTTCTGCATTCTCAGCTCTGCATCACAGTGTCCCGTTTTAGTGTCCACTGTGCACTAGCTGCTACACTGTCATCATTTAGTTTATTTAATTTCATCTGACGGACATTTGAATGACACAAAGTGTATATATTCTGCAGGGCAGACAATGGCTTTTTGTATTCCTAAGGTTTTGTTTGTTTTCTCCTTTTTGCAAATTTCTTCGTCTATCTCCTTCTTACACCTTTGTGTTTCCTCAATGACGCCAAACTGAGAGAGAGAGAGAGGGAGGGAGAGACTGCCGCATCTAGGGGGAAATTCTTTCTCAGTACAGACGCTCACACACACAATTCGCTTCCTTGTGATTGTTTTGTCAGTGTTTCTGCCAAGGATTGCCCCCTGCGCCAAACACTGGCGCCATTGCCCTGAGTAACTGTGCCTAATAGACTCATTTGAATATTCGAGCTGTAAGTGTCGCGTCACGGTAGAAATTGCCGTGCTGCATTCCAGACCTACTTGCGGCGCAGAGAACAACAGTAGCCACGCACAGAGAGTGTTGTTGGTAAATTCGTCCACTGGCCGAGTGTTTGTCCCCTTCTTTCCTTGCCACCACCATCACGAGTGCACTCGCTCCACATCTCAGCACTATCACAGTGCAGCCATCTCGATTGTGTGCGGCGGTCTCAAGCGAGGGGAGTGTCACCTAGCAGACCTGCAGAGAGTACTGCTGAAGTAATTATCACTGAAAGAGCGCACTACCATCAGCAGTGCACTGCACACTGACCATTTGCTCTGCATGCCGCATCATTGGCCACTGTGATTGTGCTTGTTTGCTTGCCGGTCATTTGCATTTCCAGTGACCATTTGCCCAGTGCGTGTGTGTGTGTGCCCAGCAAAACAGTGCACTGTGGAATTTACTCCTTCACCTGTTGCTGCTGCTGCTTTCATTTTGACCACTCATTTCAGTTAATTGCCAACTGTCTCTGAATGCTTGCGCGCCCTCTCTCCTTCTTTTCTCATTTGCTTATCTTTACGTTTGAATCAACAATCAGAGTCAGTTCAGTTCAGTTTGTCAGTTTGCGATTGTCTTTTGGCCTCTGTCTCTCTGTCTTCGTCTGCTGTTTACGTCTGAATTTTGTTTTTTGTTGTTGTTGCTTCTGCTGTTTGAATCACTGCTATTAATAGATGCTCTCTATCTCTGCTCTTCTGTCTCAGGTGTGTACGAGTGTCTCTTGTCTGGTGCTGAGACAGGCGGAGGCAGTCTACGGAGTCTACTTTTTTTGGTACACAGTC